CATTGTGACCTCTAAATGGCAACTCTTGCTTTGACAAATACAGCACGGCCTCAGTAACAGTTTTAAAATTTCTCGATTTTGTCTTACCTCCTCATTGTGACGCTGAATCTCATTTCTTCTAGCGAGGGACATAAGACAATCAATTCGTTCACTAGCTCCATACGTTTTCCATGTCTTAAATGCAGTCAAATGCGATTTAGATTTTTCATGCTTCTTAGCATCAGACATAATACTCCGCATATCGTTGTAGCCATTCTTAGTCCACGATGGCGATGTTTTTGGGGAAAACATTAGACATGGCCAACAAAACACTTTCTGCAAGGTTGTACTGCCACACAGCCAGTCCTTCGCCTCCTACCAATCTCTCTGAAATGCTCTTCCCTTATTTTGGATAGTTAAATAAGGAGTAGGCCGTTCATGAACGATAACATTCTGTTCGACCGACGATCGAGCAGAGAACGGTTTAGCAAATAAGCTATTTACTAAATCAACATCATTTGAGCAAATCGCAGTCGCACTTGAAGCCATTGTGTCATACACAAATACAAAATAGCAATTTGAGAGTAAACACAATGGAAAATTAATACCGACAATGACACGTAATTTGATAATCACTAATCGCTGTACTCGTATTAAAAGGTCGAATAATTACAGTACGTATTCCATATATGGATAAATATTGCACAATCCATAAGAGCAAATACACAACGCTAAAGCGCAAATACATGACGATAAAGAGCAAATACACGACAAGGTTGGTGGTCAACAGTGGGTTTTACTTTCTATGAATACAGCCTCACTAAAGGGAAGCCTCATCAATTGCACAGGGAAGCCAAAGGGCTTAAGCTTGTCATAACCTTTCACGAATAAAAGAAGATATGTACTGCTTCAAATCTATCTAAAAGACACTTCCTAATAAATATTTTTTTAATGCACACCAGACATTGCACTGATTTTGTTTAGTGGAGGGGGTGGGTGGGTGTGATTTTATACACATCTAGGTGAATTTTTATTGCCAGCAAACAAAACTGGGTAAATGTCAATTGGTTAACATAAATCTCTTAGACTAACCATTTAGCAGTCATTTTCTATTTGTATTTCCACTATTATATATTCATTAACATCATTTTTCTCTTACCATCCGCATGCCAGCAGTGATTTGGTCCAGGTGACAAATATATTCTTCTTTTCCACTTTTTTGCTTTTCTTGCTTTACTTGATGCAGGATTAAGTTCAGAAAAAATTCTGCAAACCATTTCTCGGGATGCATATACATTATATATTATCCTCAAAGCATGCCAAATGGTCCGGTATCTTGACTGTTCTCCCGCCTTTGCCATCTCCATTCATCAACAGATACAATCTTTCGCTTCAGATTATACTCTCTTAGTTGCCTATTGAGTGTTCTAAGACTCATAGTTACTCCATGATGTTTTGTCAAGAAGTCAAGTATAACATCATAGGTATAGCCACAGTTGAACAGGGGCGGATCTAGGATTTTTCAAACATCAGTCATAAAACGTCGGAGGCGCTCTGCACCTGAGGGGGTCTGAGGCATTCTCCCCTGAGAAATTTTGAATTTCAGAGCCTTAAAAATGCCATTTTCAACGTTTTAGAGGGATACATAATGTATTTGGTGGGCATCGTTTTTTTTTGCGTAAAAACAACACATTTTGCTTACGTTTTTTAAAAAAAAAATGAAGTGAACAATACATAAATGTTTTGCCAAATATTTAGGCTCATTATCATGCCAAATATATGGCTCATTAGCATGTCTAGGAACGTAAAATTTATTTTACAATAATGTTATTCAAAAACAGATATAGTCTTTAAAAATTTTTACCAAGTTGTCAGGCATAGACCCCCTAGAGACCTCCATTCAAACCTCTATGTAATGAGTTAAGTTAGAAATTTGGTACTACAAGTGACAGTTCATAGATATAAAAAAGCTCAGACTTCAAACCATGCAAGTTTATTGTAACCCTTTACCCATCTCCACATCAGTGCCAGCAAATTCACTTTTTGAGAAAAAACTCAATTTTTTTTTTCTGCCAAAGATTAAGAAAAAATTATCAGAGTGAAAAATACAGTTAAGGACAGCTTAATGCCATAAATGTTTATTAGGCATTTCACTAGACTATTATCTCCTGTAAGTATATGCAAGTGTGCTATATAGCAATCACTAGTAGCATTGTATTTGCAAATACAAACAGAATGTAACCAACATGTCTTTAATTATATAACTACATGGGGACAAGTAGCAAGGCTTCACGTGCCGTCCCTGATTTCGACTGATTGCTACAACACGCGCAACACTTCCAAACTTCCAGCCCGAGTTTGGATAGCCCTGGCGCGAAAAGATATGATGATGATGATGTAATTACATGAATGTTAAAATTGATTCTTGTGTCATGCTTACTGGTTATGATAAATATCTTTTCATATGATCAAAGCTCGTTTAAATGTAAATCTGAAATAATTTAGTTTAGAAATTATAATGATCATCCGAAAAATTACCTAGTGATCATGAAAAATACTGTGCTGTTTTGCCAAATTTCAAGGTTTATCTGCATACATAGAAAGACATTTTACTTTCTAGAAAATTCTTTTCATACATCAATAGCCCTTTGGAATTTATGGCAAACAATCTGGTAGGAGCCGTAGATTAACACACCTTTACATCTCTACATGAGATGTTCAATTAGAAAAGGGGACAATATGTGACTTGGGACAACATTTCATGTATGTGAAATATTCAGGTTTAATACCATTCCAGTCAAATTGTCAAAATAAAAAGCTTCATGGCTCAGAAAAGACTCAAAATCACTGGTTATAGTAAACAGCTTCTAATGTAATCAATGTTTGTTTTCTCAAGTCTCAAACAATGTGTAGTTTAACTGTCCAATGATTGAATAGTCAAATATCATAAACTGAAAAGCCTCAAACATTTGTTTACGATAAAGTAAATAATAGTATGGCGCCTTATGGCTACAGGTTTTTTGTCCATTGAAATATATTTGCAGGAATGTAGGATTTCGCTACCATATATCATCAATCTGCTTACCATACGCCATATTGACATAAATCGCATCACACACTCGCATAAATTGACTTTGATATATTACATTCATGCATACACTTCAGTTGTCCTATACTTACGATTTTGGATGTAAATTTCTGCTGATAAAAATCAAAACAATGTTGGCTTTCTTTTGAACATCAATGACTGAAATGTCGCTCGCGAGATCGTCTTTGCCAAGCATTTACAATTTATCCATAAATTTTTCACCCTCTTGAAAAAATACAGCAGCATTCATGTCAATATATGAATTTGTAAAAGATTTCCATAAATTCCATCTGACTGTAGTTTAGTTTCTATCATGCTTATAAAAATTACTATGAAACGATCAAACATTCAATTCAGACAGTGAGCTTGACTATGTTAGTTCAGTTGGCTATTAGTCGAAATCCGTCAAACCAATCACAGCAAAAACATAAATTCAAATGAACCAATTGTAAGAAAGCTATTGGACTCCCTTATACGTCCGGCCACCCCTATTATCAGTCGAGAACATTCCAGACTGTCCACTGATCTGACCATTGACCAATAAAATAAGCGTTTTTGGCGTTTATAGACTCCTTTATCCGTCGAACCAGTCAAGCCACCCCGCTTATCAGTCGGTTATTCCAGGTCACCAACTGATCTGGTTACCAGCGAGATATTCATTGGATTAGTCATTAGTTTTCAATAATAAATAAAGCTGGATTTTTATCACGAAGTAAATGCGATAATAAAGTAAGAATAATTAATGAATTTTTAATTAATATGAATAGGTAATTTTTGAATTTAAACATCAGTCGCGCGACGGATTTGACATACTCTAGATCCGCCCCTGCAGTTGAAGTAAAAAGTAATGGCTTCTCTTATCTGATCTACAACAGGTTGGTTTGCACCTGCAAAATTAAGAAATACCTAGTACTTAAATTTTAGGCAATTTAGAACTTTCAACAAAATAAAGAGATAGTAACATTAAATTGTACATAGACAATACAATAATGTGAAATTTGTTTTATATATATGTATAAGACTAATGAAGACATCTATCATTTAGTGGAAGCATGAACATTAAATAGTAAGATCCAAATGACTAAAATCATTACGATTTGTACAAACCTACAAGCTGCCCAAGCTGATGTCCACATTCGTCGCAAAATCTATAATCGTCTCGACATATGTTAAGGCAATTTTTGCAATTGATCATTTTAGCAGGTCATTTATATATTTTTTATTTCTTAATTGGTAACCGTTATCGCCAAACTACAGTCAGTTGACAAATTAAAAATCAGTAATTAGGAACACTTCCCCAACCCACCCCCACCCCCAACGTTAAGTGTGTGCACGTGTGTTATTTTTGCCAGGGAGTAAGAGAGTGTTTGGTATGTTTATTTGTGTAGAGAAAGATAATTTCAGCGTGAAGAAGGAATTATTTGCTCTTAGCAACCTTTTTTTAAGTGTGGAGAAGTAGCATTTCAACAAGCAGAAGGTTAACATTTGTGTGGAGCAGTTCGTTTTCCACAGAGCAACATTATATTCGTGCGGAAAACACTCGGGTTTGTACGGAGAAACTTGATGTGTATGCAACAGTTACATATTTCTGCGCAGAAGCTGTTGCACATACGTGCCACCGTAGGTTTTAGCTGTCATTGTTAGCGAATATGGCTAGCAATTTCAAAAGCCAAAACGACCTCATGGTGCCAAATTGGCCCGTATATTTTAGCACCAATTGTCAATTGTAAAGCAAAAACAATCGTCATGGTGCCAAAACGGCTCTTTTGTCTGTTTTAGCCCTCATTGTTAGCCAATACGGCAAGCAATTTCAAAAGACACAACGACCTCATGCGGCTGAAATGACCCACTTCTTTTTACTGTGTAGGTAATATGTTGCCATAAAGAATGGTCATTAGAATATGTATCTAAATGGTCAGATGCAATTAACAAGTTTCAACCCTTTAAAATTTATTCACATATTATCTCACTAGTGAGCTAACAATTACATATATACTTCAAGTGAAAGGCTACGCTAATGAGCGTGCTGTAAACAGCAGAAACCCACTTGATTCCTGCAAGCACTTTTATGTTCATTCACAGGACGACAGTCAATTAAAATACGTGTCTACAAAATACAAAAATTGAATATCATGAAAATTAGGATTGCATTGGACTGGCTTTGGCCACTGACAGGAATGGGGCGAAAAATTTGCTTACAGATAAGAGTTCCAAGAAAATACACAGAGATAAAGAACCAAAAAAATATCACATCTCTAAGCCCTTTTTTCTGATTCCAGTAGCGTAAGCAGTCCACATATTTTATTTGCCATTTACAGGTTTTTTTCAGTTCACATGCACTGTGAAAACAGTGCATTTCAAAAGATGCAATGCAAAAAATGCAAGACTGAAACTTGTGGTCTGGCTACGCTACTGGCCAAGTCCACTACATATTTTAGTAAAAAAAACATCACATTTGCATTTCACAATCATTACAAAAAAGTAAATTATGTGCTTTCTGCTGTACCTTTACGCTCCACCTCTACCGACATATTTACTTCCATTTCTCCAAGTAGGATTGTCTTTGCATGGCTTAGGTTCAGAAAACCACTGTTTATTGTTTTTCCAAACCATGTAATTCATGTTGATTTGAAAATGACAATTGTATACGACTTTAGGAATTTCATAGTGTGTACTATTATCTTCCCTCTCATAAACACTCCAGTAGAGCCTCATTTGATCGGGGTAACTTTGGTGAATACCAATAATTGAACGACAAATTTCGTTTCTTTTCTTTACATCATTATCTGACCGGAAATCAGGCGAAGAAGACCGAAGATGAACTAGCCTCCCATTATCAGAAAACGTTGTCAGATTTGTGATAGCTTTTAACCAATAGCCAATAGCCTGACTTTCGAAAACGTGGCACATCAAACTGTCTTTCCTTTTTAAAAATGATTCGACAATGTCAGAAGTCAAAAGAAGAAAAGACTCATCCAGCCATGTTGCATCTAAAAATTGAAAAAAAATCCCTATGACTACAATGGCGGTCGAAAATATCTGCTCAACTTTGTATTTTTTATATACAGGTAAAAGTTTTAGCTTGTAATATAGTTTAACATTCTGTTTCCGAAATTAATAATTTTCAACCTTGTTAAAAAATCCCACAAATGTCACCAAGAAGACTTGACATGTGTGTCATTACTACATCAACAGTTGGAGTTTACTCCAATACCACCAAGTGAACTCTTGACTAAATGACTTTTCAGTTATTAAGTGGATGAGAAGAATGTAGACAAGATGTGGAATTAACGGGTTCAAAGCCAATAATTAATATATAAAACGTCGTGCAAAATGGTATAGGCATTTGCTGCCGTAGTCAGAGAAAACGTACTCCTGAGTATACTTGCTAGTGAAGTGGCTGTATCCAAAAAGTGTCAGTGACATGCTAAAATCTTGTTTTAGAACAACAATACTAAAATCAAAATGTACGGACACTGTCCACACGGCTAGGGGAAAGTCTCATCTGATAAATAAAGCCCCTTGACAGATGGCATGGCTAAAGAAGCTCCTACACTAAGATATTCTCTCCCATCTTCCTGCGATTAATAAATAATAAAGTCAAGAGTAAATTATTTTTATTTTAAAAAGATATACTTAGGCGTAATTATGACAACATTTTTTTACTTCCTTAATAGTTTTCCGTTCATTTAAAGTAACCATATTTAATATAGACACAAATATATCCTTAAATAACATCTTGTACCGAAGGAAGTAGTTTTATCGTTGTAAGATAGATCGTAGACCATAGACATTGACGTTGAACATTAAATGTGGTACTATAGTTATCTGTGATATCTCTATTTGTTCGCGTAAGTCAATATATACTAAGGAAGGTAGATGGCTACATCACAAAACCTAACAAACATTTCTGTTACGTTAATAAACTACATGTATTTCATTAATTATTATACAATAAACACAATGAAACGCGTGTGCTGATTAGTCTATAGCTGTGTTTGCACTAGCCTGTGCAAAACGATCTGAGCTCGACCATTCAAATCAACCAATCAATCAAAGAGAATTTGCAAATCAATCGTGAATACACGTTAAAAGAATATTAAAATCTTTGGCTTGTTTTGCATTATTGTTATTTTACACTTGAAATAAAAGATGTTTATCGTGTTTGCACTGGCTTATGCAAAACTCAGAGACGTTGGTGAGGACTCTCGAGCAGGTGCAACCCTCGACCTTTCAAAGGTCTCCTCGGTTTGCATAAGCCTGTGCAAACGCAGTAAACATCTTTTATTTCTTAAATAATATACTTTGACACATTTCTCCACAGTGATTGGTTGATTGCAGTGCAGTAACTGCTCTGTAAGTAGTGTAACTTGATTCGCTAAAAAGCAGTGAAAGTCAAGTAAAGTTCTGGTCAATTCAAAAATATGGCGGCAGTAGTAAGTAAACAAATATTTCCACAAGTGCAATCGTTATTTTAAAATTCAAGAATTACAAAGAATCCAAAGAATAAAAACAAAACATGAACTACTATTTTTTGGGTTATTGTTTTTGGCAATTAGGCCGCGTAACGAGGCTAACTACACACTCCTGTAATTAGCCGCAAATATGACTCAAGGATTTCTTTTTGACTGATTGTGTATGATGGCAAGAAGTAGTCATTGTACAACTAAATCCGTTTATCAATTGAATGAAAACGATTTTTTTAAATAAATATCTTATTATAGCCACGACGCGAGAAGAATTGGAGAGAACTGGAATCTACAGTGAAGCGAATCATTAACGGCTAGTATTGACAACTGCATAGTAATGCTCAGTTTTCGTTCAATTATTCCACCATTACTGATGACGAATAAGAGCGCCTTGTTCAAGATGTTTGCTACATTACATCAATTATATGTGAAAGGCGTCTAATGGCAGCATTACGAAGTCGTAGTATTCGCATTCAACGTTGTAGAGTGCGTGAATGCTTACGTAAAGTAGACCCCGTGAGTACTGGCTTCAAGATGGAGACCACGGTTTGGACAAAGTTGAAGTTGCTCTTATATGCTTGGGTCTCAGTACAGGCTTAGGAAAAGGGAGTATTATAATTTCTAGTTCTGTGCATAACACCAGTGTCGAAAGACCCTATCGAGATATATATTCTGGTGTTTTAAGCTTCCTCGAAAAGGGATTCTGTGAACTAGAGGGCTCTGGACACTAGGATCCTTTGAATGAAGTCCACATTTTTGCCTTGCACTATGTTTACATGCCACATATAAGCAGATGTTTAAAAGAGTTACACAATTGTAAAACCATTCGTTGTCTTTAGAGAATGGCACGACACCGCGTCAGCTCTTTACCTTGGGTGTTCTGATGATTATAAATTCATAATTCTCGGGGAAGGCATTATGAATGAAGCTGAATTACAGAATTATGGAATTCATATGGATGAGCCACTACCTATTCACGAGAGTCCTTACCAAGTTACCATTCCCGCCTATATAGCAACCAATATGATAGAAGAACAGAGATCATTCCTTGAAGAAAATTGTGATCCTCAAGTTGGAATTGGAAAAGAAACATTTATGTTATGTTGTCTCTTATTGTTCTCATTCGATATTTATAAACTAAGTAATTATTAGAAAAACAACAGAAAAATTACTTTTATTTCTACGACATGTTCATTAGACTGTCGTGCGATTTGCAAACAAAAAAAGGTTTTGCAACCCAAATTCTTGAAACAAAAAGAATGTAATTAAGAGTTCCAATATAGGTATTGTTGTCAGATATCCATGTTATGCTACAACAAAAGACCAATCTGCCAAATTTCGAATAATGTTTGTTTGTGAGATATTCTGAGAGCTCGTTGTGTTGCAAATAATGATAAAGTTGTGTTGGGTTTCAATTGTACATTCGGGTATGTTGGGCGTTAAGGAATAATATAGAAAACATGGGTGGAACGGAATTAGAGAAAGCAGAGAACAGAAGTGAGAGGGGCTAAACAAGGGAGAGAAGCGAGATACTTTTAGGAGTAGGAATAAAACTTGTTTAACAAACCAAAGTTGCTATTGTAATTATTCTTCGTGTTCCGAAGACATTGGGACGGATGTCAATTTTCGGAATAGTTGTAAGTTTGATACGTTGATTATGATTCTAATGGCACTCCAAACGTATGGGCAAAAATCTCACGTGAATGAACTTCGTTGGAATTGAACAATTACGTTTTTGTTGTGACAGTAATAATATCGTTACCATTTAGAAACTAGAGAAATCCAGCCAGCATAAGTGTCATGTCATAATTTGATCAATCTTAATTTCAGGCGCACTCGCCTTTAGATTTTCGTTCAACGTCTACAAGCTTGATAACACGTTTGGAGGATGCTCCTTTCTCACAGTAAATTATAGAGTAGCTGGCAAAAACTACTGAATTGATTAAAGTCCTTCAATGATCTCAACTCTTTGTTTCAAGAATCAGCAATAAAGTGCAGCTTTTGGATAAGCTTCAAATATAATGCTAATATTTTCTTTCGCTCGATTTCTATGGCAACGATAGCTGCTGAAAAGCTCCATGACGTCATCGTGCTATTATTATCAATTTCATTCTCTAGATGTTTCATCCTCACATCTTTTTCACCCATTGAAATGTAAGGAAAGCATTTTTCTTGTTTATAGCAAAAAACTAAAATTCTTGGAACAGATCGCCACTCTATAGTTTCGTAATCATGGCGAATGTTTGGAACCTTCTCCGACAGGCCTATCGGCAGTGCGCCAGAAAAGGCTCAAAGATACCACAATAAGACATAAAACGATTATATCTAAGTTATTCTCTATACTAAATATAGATTTAATATAAGTAGTATCCTATAAGATCCTAATAGATCTTACAAGGTCTTTTTCAGACGCTATGGCAAACACTGCCCACGTGACTATCAATCTGAGTATACAGCATCCGCTATAGAAAAACATAGCTGAAAAGTAGAATGTTACTTTAGCATAAACTAGAAAAATTTGAGGTTGTAGGTTGAATGGTTTAAAGCTTATTATATGGCAAGCGTCACTTTCCGCCAAATGATGCGCTTTGATTGGCTCAGAAATTTTTTTTCCGGTCTATTATTTTTGCGTAATCGACCACGGTCCAAAACGCGTAATTTTACTGTCATGACAAACTTTCTAAGGAAACAGCAAAACACAAAATAAACGAAACAAAACACCATTTACGTATGTGATTTGAAGGAAAAACACTTGGAAAACAGTTAAACTATCTAGACAATACAATATGAAACGAGTTTATTTTTTATTGACGAAAACTAGAAAAATGAAAATCAACCCGTAAAAACAGCAAGGACGAGAAAGAAAGCAAGCTTCGTTTCAGGTAAAATAATGCCATATAATAATCGTTTTAATAACCTCGCTTTCTCGGTCTTTACTGAGAAATATCGGACCTCTGTGTTTTTGTACAAACCTCGCTCTACGGGCTCGGTCTGTTCAAAAACACCTCGGTTATTTCTCTGTAAAGACCTCGCGCTCGGTCATTAAGTTCTTAATAATTTTGGGTTGGTCATAATAATTTGGTGTTGCGCTTGTTCCAGTTGGTCACCGTATATTATACTATAATAAAATATATTTAATATAGATCAGTACACTTTAAAGCTACATATGTTTATGTAGCTTTAAATTTCAAAAATGTGGTTTTCAAAAAAAAAAAATTAAAAGATATAAGCGCAATTATTTTCTGTTTCGAAAAATCGCTGCTCAGGATCGAAGATCGTCAAAAATCTACGTCCAAACAACGTTCTCAAACGGTAAAAAAGTACGTTGGCTAAGCTTCGCTGGAATGCCATGTTCAACGCTATATTCATGCGACTTTGTGCCAACATCCCAAAGAGTTAACAAAACAACGTTATCACAACTGTTGAGGCGACGTTTGTCAAGCGTCGACACAACGTTGCTACGACGTAAGTTTGCTACCTTGGTAAGTAATAAGACCAAAACAAAAATATTTCTGTACAAAACCGTATGGGTCTCAAAAATATTCTATTTTTATACCGTGTAATTCGCAGTATAACCATCCCTACTGAAAGCTGTGTTTTGGTCTTTTATTACTTTCCAACTCTAACATCAACTTATTCAAACAAATAAAATAGTCATTATTAAGTCGTAAATATTATTGGAAATCGTAATCATCATTTGCCCACTGAAGTACCCACAGTAGCTGTACCGAAATGTAAAATCACAGGGTTTCTGTACGAACAAGATCTCCATGTAACTGACTTTCATTATAAAGTTTCTCTTTTTCTTCACCCTGAATCAAATTGCCACTTAGATCTTTACCGTTAGTGAAATGCTTACAAACAACATCAGATCATTTGGTGCATTCTTTAATCCATGTTCTCTTCCTGCTTTTTTTCTGTTTTTCGTTTATTGTGAGACAGAGCACTTATGATACTAATAAATAAAAGCAAATTTGGTCTCGACGGAGTCAATTGTAGAGTAATATTATTGATATCTTGACTAACGATTTTAGTCGTCCATGTCAATAACTGTGGGCCACTTCACCATTTTTCTATAGGCCGCATATTTGAAAAGAATGACGAGTGAGCTACATACCCAAAAAATTAAAATGGCTCGAAACATTTGACGTTTTTGATAACATTTTTCATCTCCCGTTGAAGTTGCGTTGAAGTGATAAGTAGTAATGACATCGAGTTCTATAAGACCTGGAGAGGAAAAGGAGCCTGGACCCCGTGGTCAGAAACATGGCGGTAATGACGGATTTTGGTGGTCAAAACTTCCACTTTAAAATTTTTCTTTAATATTCACTCCTTCCTGATTTCCAATAGTGATAATATGAACGAAAACAAGTGAAAAAAACAATTACAATACCGTCAGCATATCATGTGAAAATAATGCATCAAACTGTATAAGCTATTGGGTTTTATATAACTTAATGTTTAAATCATGTGATATCTTTATGAAAATATTTTAGTTGATTGTTGTTTAAATGTTACTAATATCTAATGCACTATACTGAAGCGTTAAAGATTCAGTGATGAAACCTTTAAAGTTTCTGTACTGTATATTTCTTCATTATTACAGTTTTTGCTTCAAGAAACAGTTTCAGCTTATTTACCTAATAGAGTACAGAATGCAGGTTTATCATATGCATTGTTGCTGCTTTTTTAAAGAAACGTTTTTCACTTTTCAAAGCTTTTCTACAAATTTTTTGCTTCTTATTTTTTTTCATGACATTGATGATATAGAGGTAATACAATCCAATAACTTTATAATGTTTAAAAAGCTTTTAAGCTTCTAGCGTAAAAGTACAATATAGGTATTTAATTCATTTGCTTATATTGCCTTGCTATGACATTTCTACTTGCACTTCATCATTCTTGTATGAACAAAACACAAGATGTCAATACTCAGAAAACAAAATGCACTACCAACTGCTTATGAAATTTATTATTGGGGTGAAAACTGTGTTCATTATACAAATTGTGCACTTATTTTGCAAATATAGGAAAAACAAGACTAAGTGAAATAGAAGTGTAGAAGTATTAAAACTACAAATGATTTATAAACACCATTGGAAGCATAAGTGTTTGCATTTTGCCCAATCATATCTCAATACTGCAAAATAAAAATGTGCTACAACTTTACAAATATTTGATGCAGTTGCACTTCACAACATCACAAAAAGGTTACTTAAAGTAATTTCTATACCACATTGCTTGTTTTCATTTACCAAACCTATGCAGACTTGAGTCTTTTTGAAATTTAATATAAAACTCAATTACAGAAAATCCGTAAATATCCAGAGATTTAATATTTACTTTTTTAAAGAAACATGTAAAAATTCTACCATTGTGTCGAAAAAAGCCATTTCCCATTGCATGAAAAGAAGCAAAATAGCATGACAACAAATAAGCTAACTTCTAACTCGTGAATCGTGGAGATGAACTATGATATACTTTTTTGAATAGACTAAAGAGTTTAATCGATCAAACAAGCTTGATGTTGGAAAGAAAACAACGCACATCTGCATTCATACATGTGTAGCCTACATATAGCTCCTTCGTCGATAGTTATAAATGCATCCTCCTAGGAGCAGATAACTGACAACCACAGTTGACTCACTATTATGAATTTAAGGTTTATACCTCGATTTTCATCAAAAAATTGCTTGCCGAATCCCAAATACACACATAAATTTTCCTCACTCTTTCCTCAGGAGGGAGTGGGAAATTGTGAAATTTTTGGAAAAGCGGTCAATTTCGGTAAATCTCAGCGGCAACAGACGAAATCCGCCATTTTATGGCGTAATCAGATATCTAAGCCACGCTTGAGACAGCCGCTCTAGTTATTTTTGAGCTCTATACTTCAGACAAGTCTAGGCATGTGTATAATGAGTTAGCCTTCTAGTTGTATTAGAGTTCATTGTTGCAATCCCAATATGTATGTTAGCAATCGCAATCCCAATATGTTGTATTTGAGTTCATTGGATTGCAATAAAATAAATACTACACTTTGTTGTCAAGGAAATCAAATCAGTTTACGTGTGGCGTCCAAAGTTACGAGTTCTATGATAACTGGAGCGGCTAAGTGGACTGGGACCAGGCACCAAAAAAATGACGGCCAATGGACCTATTTCCGCCTAAATTATCGTTTGCAGAAAAATTATATTCTCGACCTCCCCTGATTTCTATAGCTAATTATACAGCATTTTTCCAAAACAAACACGATATCTTTCTTTGGCATTTCTTTTCAAATGCAAACACTTCAGTCATTCAATTGTTGAATATCGTAATGTCCACAAAATGGAACATGTCGCTTTCACAGGAGAGATATTAGTTTTGCTTGTTCATCAGAAATTGAAAAGCAATTGAACTTGAAGCCTGAGCGATAAAATCCGATTGATGTTTTCCTGTTTTTGTTTTGAATATCAACATGCTTTTCCACTTATTTGTTAATGTGTGAGACCATAAATCTGTTTGCAAAGTAGTTTCCCTAACGCGAAAAAGATTCTACTCTTTTTACTCAGTGGGCAGATACTATGAAGAAACGAAAACCCCAAAGAATACCAATAATGTAGAGCGGAGTTTGTTCGAATTAATTTGCTGACAACATGGAAAATTGATCGGATAGCAAAATGTTTCTGGAATATGCTGCAGTACCAGTACCAACACTATTTCATAGAACACTATCTGAAGACAATTGGAAGATGCTATTAGCCAGACAGAGTCTCTAAATGCAAAATTATAAGGCTGATTACAAACAAAGGTAAATGATATACAGACTTCCCTGTCCAATAGTTAGTTCAACTTGGACTAATTCTATAGATGGAAATAATGGATTTAGTAAAGATGCCTTGAATGCTTTGAAAGTAAATGTCAACTACCAATTAAAGATAACAAGGTTTTGTGTGTCTTGATGCTTGATGAAATGTCATGTAAAAAGGTCATAAAGTTTGTGCTTGTGTCAAAATTGATACCGAGATTGATGATAACTTGCTTCAACTGCACAGTACAGTGTGTTTTTTACAAATAAATTGTAAAAACATGTCACATCTCCTTATTAAGTTATTTTAGTAGAATTTTGTTTGTATGTTCGTTATATGTAATGCATGCCATATTGAAGCATTAAAGATTTAGTGATGAAAACTTCAGTGCTATATATTTCTTCTTAATTTCAGTTTTTGCTGTAAAAATACTTTGAGCTTTTTCACATAATGAGGTACAGAATGGACATTTGCCATTTGCTTTATTTTCACCTTTATTAAACCAGGGAAATGTTTTGTTTTTCCAAGTTATTCTTTAGTTTTTTGCTTCTTAGTTCATTTCATAATATGAATGAAATACAGGTAGTACAGTTTAATAACTCTATAATTTCTGAAAAGCTGTTAAGCTTATAGCATTAAACAATACAAAATATGTTTAATTCATTTGGTTTTGTTGCCTTATTTTTACATGTGTACATTCACTTCATCATTCTTGTAACAAAAACATCAGGTGTTGCATACTTAGAGGGAAAAATCCAATAGCAACTGGCATTAAATATGGGTATAAAGTTTATTGAGTTGAAAGCTGTACTAGTCAATCAAATTTTGAACTCGCATTGCTAATAGGAAACACATAAAAAAGAGAAAAAGAAGAGATTTATTAAATACACAATTGTGTATTCATGTATTCAAGTATTATAAACACTATTGTATATTTTGTTTCGTGCAGACTACAAACTTTGATCGAGCAAATCATTAAACGACAGTTACGACGCGCACATCTGCATTCATATGTGGCTAACAACTTCGTGATTAGTTAAAAAGGCATCCGTCGTAGAAGCCGACAACTGGCAACCACACTAAACTCCCTTTTATGAAATTTATGTTTTTACAGTGATTTTCATCATAAAATTGCTTGCTAAATATGCGAAAAACACATATACTTTTTCTTATAAACTATATCTCAAGGAGGGAGAGAGAAATTGTGAGATTTTCGGAAAAGCAGTCAATTTCAGTAAATCTCAGCTGTAATGGAACAAATCCTCCATTTTTTTGGCGTCAGCCGCTAATTATTGTCGATTTTAGTTAACTTTTCAAATGGCGGTTGCCAATTTACTTTCTAATGTTGCCAATTACATTTCCAAATATGGAATACTCGATATGAACTTGTCAACTTGACTTCACAAGTTGTGTACTTGAGTACTGAAGTTGTGAACTAAAGTTGCGAAGTACTAGCAAACGCGAAAGGTCTTTGTACCCTGTAGACAATTGGCAATGAATCCGTTCAGTAAGCAAGGAAAAGCTTTAGCAATTCTAATCCGTTTGACGGCCCTCTAAGAGCGTTATAATGCGATACGCCGTTTACAATATGTACCAATAAATTTACAGTAAATGTGGTACTAAAAGCGTATCGTTGGATTTCAAATGTAGGAGTACCCTTAGACGTCTATTGCCACTCGTAACAACTACAGACGACTCATTAAAGAAATGCATACGGTTGCAATCAATCAATGAAATATTTGCTACGTAAGCTTCTAACTTCTCAATAACTTCCGGCTGTTCTGTCTCTCGAGGAATTTAACTTATTATCTTGTAAGTGTAACCAAGATCTTTGTTCAAAATTCCACTAATGGATGTCCTGCTATGTATAATTGCTGGAAGGCAAACTTTGTTATTTTCTAGGTGCTGCTGAATCTCTTCTGCGTAAATAGATGGTTTATTAATTTTTACATATTTAGTGTATGTATAATGTCATCTGTACGCGTGGTTCGAACATCACGTTCGCTCTGGCGAGGTACAATAGAACCTGGGTTTACACATAGATCTATTATATTTGACATAGTCCTATACGGTAGTGTAATAACTCAGATGGTTATAGATCTACGTTTATTCTCTAATCTCCCAGCTTACACGTTTGTGCTCTACATGTGCTAATAGTTAAGTTATGCTTAAGTGAATATCAGTCATATATAACATAACGGAAGCTTATGCCGCTAATTATGTGCATATATTACAGGTAGGTTTAGTTGTTTCGAAATGTTTGTCAAACGCTCGTTATTTAACCACATTTCAAGTATTTCATTTCTTACTTCTATTGGTAAAGCTTTTCCTTGGTTACTGAACGGATTCATTGCCAAATGTCTATAGGGTACAAAGACCTTTAGCGTTTTGTAGTACTTCGAAAATTTAGTTAACAACTTCAGTACTCATGTACACAACTTCGGTACTCGGGTACACAACTTCAGTACTCAAATACACAACTTCAGTACTGAGATAGCCGCTCCAGTTATTATATAACTCAATGGTTGCGTCAGTTAAGTGTGAATGCTCACAAAATTGAGCTTTCTCATTCACAAGATCAATCTCAGATCGATCTTCTCGGATCGATCTTAAAGTGAGCTAAAAGTGAACAGAACTAAATTTTGATACCATGCATTTATATCGACCTTGGCTGTCAGCCAAACTCGTTGATACATTTCGTTGATGAACTTTTTTACGAAATTGCGTCCTTCGAAGATTTATTTACAAATACTTATATTATTTTGACCCTTTCGCAAAATTTTGTGGAATAAAACGCATTTTTTTGAAAAAAAATTTAACAATAAAGATGCTCGATGCTAGCCATTGTGTACAGCTACAAAAATATCAATATCATTGAGCTTAATAATTTTGTGTTGAGCTCTATATTTTATGTTGAGCTTAATATTTGTGTTGAGCTTAATAATTTTGTGTTGAGCTCTATATTTTATGTTGAGCTTAATATTTGTGTTGAGCTTAATAATTTTGGTGTTGCCCTTGTTCTTGTCGGCCACCGTATATTATATTACTATGGACTATATTTAACGAAGATATGTACACTAGTGACATGTTTATATAACTTTTAATGTTAATGATGTAATTTTCAATAAAATTAAAGGGTTTAAGCGCTATTATTTCCCATTTAAAAAGTCGTTTGATCGAAGATCGTCACGTTAGCTGACACGTCGCTGGAAAGTGTTGTTTAACACTATATTCATGCGACTTTGTGACAACATCCCAACGTAATTTTGCAAGAGGAAATTATCGAAACAAACTAACCATTGTGTTCAAAATGTGAGCATAGATAGCTCTATGAATTACAAAAAAATTCAATTTTACATACCGTATAGTTCGCAGTGTAGCCATCCCCATTGTAAGCTGTGTTTTGGTCTTTCATTACTCGCCAATTCTAACATCAACTTGTTCAAACAAATAAAATAGTCATCATCAAGTCGCAAATAATATTTGAAATCGTAGTTATCATTTGCCCACTGAAGTATCCAGAGTAGGTTTACCGAAAATGTAAGCCCACCAGGAGTTTCCGTACGAACAAGATCTCCATATAACTGACTTTCATCATCAAGTTTCTCTTTTTCTTCACCCTGAATGAAATTACCGCTTGAATCTTTACTGTCAGTGAAATACTTACAAACAACATCAGATCGTTTGGTGCATTCTTTAATCCATGTTTCTCTTCCTGCTATTCTTCGTTCATTGTTAGACGGAGCACTTATGATACTAATGAATAAAACCAAATTTGGTCTCGACGGAGTCAATTGTAGACCAATATTATTGATATCTTGACTAACGATTCGGTCCTCTATATCATTAACTGTGTGCCACTTCATCATTTTTCTATCGGGCTCATATTTGAAAAGAATGACGAGTAAGCTACATAGCGAAAAAATAACAATGGCTCGAAACTTTTGGCGTTTTGATAACATTTTTCATCTCCCGTTGAAGATGCGTTGAAGTGATAAGTTACAGTGGCCCACAAGTGTCACGGCTATAAACAAAATTCCACGGCAATAAACGAAACTCCACGGCAATAAACGAAACTCCACGGCAATAAACGAAACTCCACGGCAATAAACGAAACTACACGGCAATAAACGAAACTCCGCGGCAATAAACAAAACCAAAAAAATAATCATTGTCAAAATAAACGTAGTCAAAATATGGACTGTGCTGTACAAGCCATACCTAAATAATTCTTTCATATTTAAAATTAATAACTATTAATAAGAAAGTCATTTTTCTTAATTGTTGGATGGGGATTGAGTTTAATATTGGAGTGTTTGCTTTTCATGTAAAAGAGAGTAGTGTAAATGCTAACAACGTCCACTCTTTAATTTCAAATCCTTACTGTCAAGTAAAAGTTAAGATTTAGAAGAACAACCTTGGTGGAGAAAGTTATATATTGAAGTGACAAATAAAGTATATAAAAGTAGCAAAATTTCTTAAGCTGTTTAATTTAATAAGAAACAGCATAGAAGAAACAGTCTGAATTAAATTTTTCATGTCATGTTATTAATGAAGCGCCCAATGCCGGTTTTGAAATTACTACCATAACATTAAGACTAACTTGTTCTACCAAACGAACTAGTAATGCTTTAATCTTTCATTAATGAAATATTTGCCAAGAAGTTAAAACTACATGAAGAAAACGTAAAGATAAACATTTAAGAATAAGCATTTCCCAGTGCACTTTTTACATTAAACATCTTTAAATGGATTAATTTTTGTCAGCCGATTTAAACTATTTTGTTTATTGTTAAAAATAATAAAGTAAATAGGTTAAAACTAATAAGTCTTATTGACGAAAATAGATTGCTTTATTTCCATACGGGAATTGAACCCGGGCCTTGTGGGTGAAAACCACAAATCCTAACAACTAGACCATATAGAAGTGATCATAACTTAAGAATTTCTCTGATGTATATGGTATAAAAAGTTATTTCAAATATTTTGAACTTAAGATTGATTGATTAAATAATAAGTCAGTAACTAAAACAATTCAAATATCTGACAAGTATTAAATCTTGTTATGGATACATTTAAATTGCAAAATTTTGTGTTAAGTTCATTATTAATAGCAAATTGTTTGTTATTTGTAGCTAATATATTAAAAATGAGACTCATAAATTAACCCAACAGTTTTCTTTCATATTTAAAATTAATAAGTATTCATATAAAGTCAAGTTTTTCAATTGTTGGATGGGGATTGAGTTTAATATTGGAGTGTTTGCTTTTCATGTAAAAGAGAGTAGTGTAAATGCTAACAACGTCCACTCTTTAATTTCAAATCATTACTGTCAAGTAAAAGTTAAGATTTAGAAGAACAACCTTGGTGGAGAAAGTTATATATTGAAGTGACAAATAAAGTATATAAAAGTAGCAAATTTCTTAAGCTGTTTAATTTAATAAGAAACAGCATAGAAAAAACAGTCTGAATTAAATTTTTCATGTCATGTTATTAATGAAGCGCCCAATGCCGGTTTTGAAATTACTACCATAACATTAAGACTAACTTGTTCTACCAAACGAAGTAGACGTTCTTTAATCTTTGATAAATGAAATATTTGCCAAGAAATTAAAACTACATGAAGTAAACGTAAAGATGAACATTGAAGAATAAGCATTTCTCAGTGCACTTTTTACATTAAACATCTTTGAATGGATTAATTTTTGTCAGCCGATTTAATCTATTTTGTTTATTGTTAAAAATAATAAAGTAAATAGGTTAAAACTAATAAGTCTTATTGAAGAAAGAGTCTGCCTTATTTCCATACCGAGAATTGAACCCGGTACTTGTGGGTGAAAACCACAAATCCTAACCACTAGACAGTATGGAAGTGATCATAACTTAAAAATTTCTCTTATGTATATGGTATAAAAAGTTATTTCAAATATTTTCAACTTAAGATTGATTGATTAAATAATAAGTCAGTCTCTAAAATAATTCAAATATCTGACAAGTATTAAATCTTGTTATAGATATATTTAAATTGCAAAATTTTGTTTTAAGTTCATTATTAATAGCAAATTGTTTGTTATTTGTAGCTAATATATTAAAAATGAGACTCATAAATTGACCCAACAGCTTTCTTTCATATTTAAAGTTAATAAGTATTCATATAAAAGTCACGTTTTTCATTTGTTGCATGGGGATTGAGTTTAATATTGGAGTGTTTCCTTTTCATATAAAAGAGAGTAGTGTAAATGCTAACAACGTCCACTCTTTAATTTCAAATCATTACTGTCAAGTAAAAGTTAAGATTTAAAAGAACAACCTTGGTGGAGAAAGTTATATATTGAAGTGACAAATAAAGTATATAAAAGTAGCAAATTTCTTAAGCTGTTTAATTTAATAAGAAACAGCATAGAAAAAACAGTCTGAATTAAATTTTTCATGTCATGTTATTTAATAAAGCGCCCAACGCCTGTTTTGAAATTACTACCATAACATTAAGACTAACTTGTTCTACAAAACGAAGTAGACGTTCTTTAATCTTTGATAAATGAAATATTTGCCAAGAAATTAAAACTACATGAAGTAAACGTAAAGATGAACATTTAAGAATAAGCATTTCTCAGTGCACTTTTTACATTAAACATCTTTGAATGGATTAATTTTTGTCAGCCGATTTAATCTATTTTGTTTATTGTTAAAAGTAATAAAGTAAAAGTTTAAAAGTAATAAGTCTTATTGACGAAAATAGTTAGCTTTATTTCCATACGAGAATTCAACCCGGGCCTTGTGGGTGAAAACCACAAATCCTAACAACTAGACCATATGGAAGTGATCATAACTTAAAAATTTCCCATATGCATATGGTATAAAAAGTTATTTCAAATATTTTCAACTTAAGATTGATTGATTAAATAATAAGTCAGTACTAAAAGATTTCAAATATCTGACAAGTATTAAATCTTGTTATGGATACATTTAAATTGCAAAATTTCGTGTTAAGTTCATTATTAATAGCAAATTTTTTGTTATTTGTAGCTAATATATTAAAAATGAGACTCATAAATTAAGCCAACAGCTTTCTTTCATATTTAAAATTAATAAGTATTAATATAAAAGTCACGTTTTTCAATTGTTGGATGGGGATTGTGTTTAATATTGGAGTGTTTCCTTTTCATGTAAAAGAGAGTAGTTTAAATGCTAACAACGTCCACTCTTTAATTTCAAATCATTACTGTCAAGTAAAAGTTAATTTTAATAGAACAACGTTGGTGGAGAAAGTTATATATTGAAGTGACAAATAAAGTATATAAAAGTAGCCAAAATTCTTAAGCTGTTTAATTTAATAAGAAACAGCATAGAAGACACAGTCTAAATTAAGTTTTTCATGTCATGTTATTTAATGAAGCGCCCAACGCCGGTTTTGAAATTACTACCATATCATTAAGACTAACTTGTTCTACCAAACGAACTAGTCATGCTTTAATCTTTGATTAATGAAATATTTGCCAAGAAGTTGAAACTACATGAAAAAAACGTAAAGATGAACATTTAAGAATAAGCATTTCCCAGTGCAATTTTTACATTAAACATCTTTGAATGGATTAATTTTTGTCAGCCGATTTAATCTATTTTGTTTATTGTTAAAAGTAATAAAGTAAAAGTTTAAAACTAATAAGTCTTATTGACGAAAATAGTTTGCTTTATTTCCATATGGGAATTGAACCCGGGCCTTGTGGGTGAAAACCACAAATCCTAACAACTACACCATATAGAAGTGATCATAACTTAAAAATTTCTCTTATATTTATGGTATAAAAAGTTATTTCAAATATTTTCAACTTAAGATTGATTGATTAATTAATAAGTCAGTAACTAAAAGATTTCAAATATCTGACAGGTATTAAATCTCGTTATAAATACATTTAATTTGCAAAATTTTGTGTTAAGTTCATTATTAATAGCAAATTGTTTGTTATTTGTAGCTAATATATTAAAAATGAGACTCATAAATTAACCCAACAGCTTTCTTCCATATTTAAAATTAATAAGTATTAATATAAAAGACATTTTTCTTAATTGTTGGATGGGGATTGACTTTAATATTGGAGTGTTTGCTTTTAATGAAAAAGAGTGTAGTGTAAATGCTAATAACATCAACTCTTTAATTTCAAATCATTACTGTCAAGAAAAATTTAAGATTTAGAAGAACAACCTTGATGGAGAAAGTTATATATTGAAGTGACAAATAAAGTATATAAAAGTAGAAAAATTTCTTATGCTGTTTAATTTAATAAGAAACTGCAAAGGAAAAAACAGTCTGAATTAAAATTTTCATGTCATGTTATTTAATGAAGCGCCCAACGCCGGTTTTGAAATTACTACCATAACATTAAGAGTGACTTGTTCAATGAAACGAACTATACATGCTTTAATCTTTGATAAATGAAATATTTGCCAAGAAGTTGAAACTACATGAAAAAAACTTAAAGATGAACATTTAAGAATAAGCATTTCCCAGTGCACTTTTTACATTAAACATCTTTGAATGGATTAATTTTTTCAGCCAATTTAATCTATTTTGTTTATTGTTAAAAGTAATAAAGTAAAAGTTTAAAACTAATAATGTCTTATTGACGAAAATAGTTTGCTTTATTTCCATACGGGAATTGAACCCGGGCCTTGTGGGTGAAAACCACAAATCCTAACAACTAGAACATATAGAAGTGATCATAACTTAAAAATTTCTCTTTATTTATGGTATAAAAAGTTATTTCAAATATTTTCAACTTAAGATTGATTGATTAATTAATAAGTCAGTAACTAAAAGATTTCAAATATCTGACAAGTATTAAATCTTGTTATAGATACATTTAAATTGCAAAATTTTGTGTTAAGTTCATTATTAATAGCAAAATGTTTGTTATTTGTAGCTAATATATTAAAAATGAGACTCATAAATTAACCCAACAACTTTCTTTCATATTTAAAATTAATAAGTATTAATATAAAAGACGTTTTTCTTAATTGTTGGATGGGGATTGAGTTTAATATTGGAGTGTTTGCTTTTCATGTAAAAGAGAGTAGTGTAAATGCTAACAAAATTTCAAATCATTACTGTCAAGTAAAAGTTAAGATTTAGAAGAACAACCTTGGTGGAGAAAGTTATATATTGAAGTGACAAATAAAGTATATAAAAGTAGCAAAATTTCTTAAGCTGTTTAATTTAATAAGAAACAGCATGGAAAAAACAGTCTGAATTAAATTTTTCATATAATGTTATTTAATGAAGCGCCCAACGCCTGTTTTGAAATTACTACCATAACAATAAGACTAACTTGTTCTACCAAACGAAGTAGACGCTCTTTAATCTTTGATAAATGAAGTATTTGCCAAGAAATTAAAACTACATGAAGTAAACGTAAAGATGAACATTTAAGAATAAGCATTTCTCAGTGCACTTTTTACATTAAACATCTTTGAATGGATTAATTTTTGTCAGCCGATTTAATCTATTTTGTTTATTGTTGAAAATAATAAAGTAAATAGGTTAAAACTAATAAGTCTTATTGAAGAAAGAGTTTGCCTTATTTCCATACCGAGAATTGAACCCGGCACTTGTGGGTGAAAACCACAAATCCTAACCACTAGACCATATGGAAGTGATCATAACTTAAAAATTTCTCTCATGTATATGGTATAAAAAGTTATTTCAAATATTTTCAACTTAAGATTGATTGATTAAATAATAAGTCAGTCTCTAAAATAATTCAAATATCTGACAAGTATTAAATCTTGTTATAGATATATTTAAATTGCAAAATTTTGTTTTAAGTTCATTATTAAAAGCAAATTGTTTGTTATTTGTAGCTAATATATTAAAAATGAGACTCATAAATTAAGCCAACAGCTTTCTTTCATATTTAAAATTAATAAGTATTCATATAAAAGTCACGTTTTTCATTTGTTGCATGGGGATTGAGTTTAATATTGGAGTGTTTCCTTTTCATATAAAAGAGAGTAGTGTAAATGCTAACAACGTCCACTCTTTAATTTCAAATCATTACTGTCAAGTAAAAGTTAAGATTTAAAAGAACAACCTTGGTGGAGAAAGTTATATATTGAAGTGACAAATAAAGTATATAAAAGTAGCAAATTTCTTAAGCTGTTTAATTTAATAAGAAACAGCATAGAAAAAACAGTCTGAATTAAATTTTTCATGTCATGTTATTTAATGAAGCGCCCAACGCCTGTTTTGAAATTACTACCATAACATTAAGACTAACTTGTTCTACCAAACGAAGTAGACGTTCTTTAATCTTTGATAAATGAAATATTTGCCAAGAAATTAAAACTACATGAAGTAAACGTAAAGATGAACATTTAAGAATAAGCATTTCTCAGTGCACTTTTTACATTAAACATCTTTGAATGGATTAATTTTTGTCAGCCGATTTAATCTATTTTGTTTATTGTTAAAAATAATAAAGTAAATAGGTTAAAACTAATAAGTCTTATTGACGAAAATAGTTTGCTTTATTTCCATACGGGAATTGAACCCGGGCCTTGTGGGTGAAAACCACAAATCCTAACCACTAGACCATATGGAAGTGATTATAACTTAAAAATTTCTGATATGCATATGGTATAAAAAGTTATTTCAAATATTTTCAACTTAAGATTGATTGATTAAATAATAAGTCAGTAACTAAAAGATTTCAAATGTCTGACAAGTATTAAATCTTGTTATAGATATATTTAAATTGCAAAATTTTGTTTTAAGTTCATTATTAATAGCAAATTGTTTGTTATTTGTAGCTAATATATTAAAAATGAGACTCATAAATTAAGCCAACAGCTTTCTTTCATATTTAAAATTAATAAGTATTCATATAAAAGTCACGTTTTTCATTTGTTGCATGGGGATTGAGTTTAATATTGGAGTGTTTCCTTTTCATATAAAAGAGAGTAGTGTAAATGCTAACAACGTCCACTCTTTAATTTCAAATCATTACTGTCAAGTAAAAGTTAAGATTTAAAAGAACAACCTTGGTGGAGAAAGTTATATATTGAAGTGACAAATAAAGTATATAAAAGTAGCAAATTTTCTTAAGCTGTTTAATTTTATAAGAAACAGCATAGAAAAAACAGTCTGAATTAAATTTTTCATGTCATTTTATTTAATAAAGCGCCCAACGCCTGTTTTGAAATTACTACCATAACATTAAGACTAACTTGTTCTACCAAACGAAGTAGACGTTCTTTAATCTTTGATAAATGAAATATTTGCCAAGAAATTAAAACTACATGAAGTAAACGTAAAGATGAACATTTAAGAATAAGCATTTCTCAGTGCACTTTTTACATTAAACATCTTTGAATGGATTAATTTTTGTCAGCCGATTTAATCTATTTTGTTTATTGTTAAAAATAATACAGCAAATAGGTTAAAACTAATAAGTCTTATTGACGAAAGAGTTTGCCTTATTTCCATACCGGGAATTGAACCCGGGCCTTGTGGGTGAAAACCACAAATCCTAACCACTAGACCATATGGAAGTGATCATAACTTAAAAATTTCTCTTATGTATATGGTATAAAAAGTTATTTCAAATATTTTCAACTTAAGATTGATTGATTAAATAATAAGTCAGTCACTAAAATAATTCAAATATCTGACAAGTATTAAATCTTGTTATAGATAGATTTAAATTGCAAAATTTTGTTTTAAGTTCATTATTAATAGCAAATTGTTTGTTATTTGTAGCTAATATATTAAAAATGAGACTCATAAATTAAGCCAACAGCTTTCTTTCATATTGAAAATTAATAAGTATTCATATAAAAGTCACGTTTTTCATTTGTTGCATGGGAATTGAGTTTAATATTGGAGTGTTTCCTTTTCATATAAAAGAGAGTAGTGTAAATGCTAACAACGTCCACTCTTTAATTTCAAATCATTACTGTCAAGTAAAAGTTAAGATTTAAAAGAACAACCTTGGTGGAGAAAGTTATATATTGAAGTTTCAAATAAAGTATATAAAAGTAGCAAAATTCTTAAGCTGTTTAATTTAATAAGAAACAGCATAGAAAAAACAGTCTAAATTAAATTTTTCATGTCATGTTATTTAATAAAGCGCCCAACGCCTGTTTTGAAATTACTACCATAACATTAAGACTAACTTGTTCTACCAAACGAAGTAGACGTTCTTTAATCTTTGATAAATGAAATATTTGCCAAGAAATTAAAACTACATGAAGTAAACGTAAAGATGAACATTTAAGAATAAGCATTTCCCAGTGCACTTTTTACATTAAACATCTTTAAATGGATTAATTTTTGTCAGCCGATTTAAACTATTTTGTTTATTGTTAAAAAAAATAAAGTAAATAGGTTAAAACTAATAAGTCTTATTGACGAAAATAGTTAGCTTTATTTCCATACGGGAATTCAACCCGGGCCTTGTGGGTGAAAACCACAAATCCTAACAACTAGACCATATGGAAGTGATCATAACTTAAAAATTTCCCATATGCATATGGTATAAAAAGTTATTTCAAATATTTTCAACTTAAGATTGATTGATTAAATAATAAGTCAGTACTAAAAGATTTCAAATATCTGACAAGTATTAAATCTTGTTATGGATACATTTAAATTGCAAAATTTCGTGTTAAGTTCATTATTAATAGCAAATTTTTTGTTATTTGTAGCTAATATATTAAAAATGAGACTCATAAATTAAGCCAACAGCTTTCTTTCATATTTAAAATTAATAAGTATTAATATAAAAGTCACGTTTTTCAATTGTTGGATGGGGATTGTGTTTAATATGGAGTGTTTCCTTTTCATGTAAAAGAGAGTAGTTTAAATGCTAACAACGTCCACTCTTTAATTTCAAATCATTACTGTCAAGTAAAAGTTAATTTTAATAGAACAACGTTGGTGGAGAAAGTTATATATTGAAGTGACAAATAAAGTATATAAAAGTAGCAAAATTCTTAAGCTGTTTAATTTAATAAGAAACAGCATAGAAAACAGTCTAAATTAAATTTTTCATGTCATGTTATTTAATGAAGCGCCCAACGCCGGTTTTGAAATTACTACCATATCATTAAGACTAACTTGTTCTACCAAACGAACTAGTCATGCTTTAATCTTTGATTAATGAAATATTTGCCAAGAAGTTGAAACTACATGAAAAAAACGTAAAGATGAACATTTAAGAATAAGCATTTCCCAGTGAACTTTTTACATTAAACATCTTTGAATGGATTAATTTTTGTCAGCCGATTTAATCTATTTTGTTTATTGTTAAAAGTAATAAAGTAAAAGTTTAAAACTAATAAGTCTTATTGACGAAAATAGTTTGCTTTATTTCCATATGGGAATTGAACCCGGGCCTTGTGGGTGAAAACCACAAATCCTAACAACTACACCATATAGAAGTGATCATAACTTAAAAATTTCTCTTATATTTATGGTATAAAAAGTTATTTCAAATATTTTCAACTTAAGATTGATTGATTAATTAATAAGTCAGTAACTAAAAGATTTCAAATATCTGACAGGTATTAAATCTCGTTATAAATACATTTAATTTGCAAAATTTTGTGTTAAGTTCATTATTAATAGCAAATTGTTTGTTATTTGTAGCTAATATATTAAAAATGAGACTCATAAATTAACCCAACAGCTTTCTTCCATATTTAAAATTAATAAGTATTAATATAAAAGACATTTTTCTTAATTGTTGGATGGGGATTGACTTTAATATTGGAGTGTTTGCTTTTAATGAAAAAGAGTGTAGTGTAAATGCTAATAACATCAACTCTTTAATTTCAAATCATTACTGTCAAGAAAAATTTAAGATTTAGAAGAACAACCTTGGTGGAGAAAGTTATATATTGAAGTGACAAATAAAGTATATAAAAGTAGAAAAATTTCTTATGCTGTTTAATTTAATAAGAAACTGCAAAGGAAAAAACAGTCTGAATTAAAATTTTCATGTCATGTTATTTAATGAAGCGCCCAACGCCGGTTTTGAAATTACTACCATAACATTAAGAGTGACTTGTTCAATGAAACGAACTATACATGCTTTAATCTTTGATAAATGAAATATTTGCCAAGAAGTTGAAACTACATGAAAAAAACGTAAAGATGAACATTTAAGAATAAGCATTTCCCAGTGCATTTTTACATTAAACATCTTTGAATGGATTAATTTTGTCAGCCAATTAAATCTATTTTGTTTATTGTTAAAAGTAATAAAGTAAAAGTTTAAAACTAATAAGTCTTATTGACGAAAATAGTTTGCTTTATTTCCATATGGGAATTGAACCCGGGCCTTATGGGTGAAAACCACAAATCCTAACAACTACACCATATAGAAGTGATCATAACTTAAAAATTTCTCCTATATTTATGGTATAAAAAGTTATTTCAAATATTTTCAACTTAAGATTGATTGATTAATTAATAAGTCAGTAACTAAAAGATTTCAAATATCTGACAGGTATTAAATCTCGTTATAAATACATTTAATTTGCAAAATTTTGTGTTAAGTTCATTATTAATAGCAAATTGTTTGTTATTTGTAGCTAATATATTAAAAATGAGACTCATAAATTAACCCAACAGCTTTCTTCCATGTTTAAAATTAATAAGTATTAATATAAAAGACATTTTTCTTAATTGTTGGATGGGGATTGACTTTAATATTGGAGTGTTTGCTTTTAATGAAAAAGAGTGTAGTGTAAATGCTAATAACATCAACTCTTTAATTTCAAATCATTACTGTCAAGAAAAATTTAAGATTTAGAAGAACAACCTTGGTGGAGAAAGTTATATATTGAAGTGACAAATAAAGTATATAAAAGTAGAAAAATTTCTTATGCTGTTTAATTTAATAAGAAACTGCAAAGGAAAAAACAGTCTGAATTAAAATTTTCATGTCATGTTATTTAATGAAGCGCCCAACGCCGGTTTTGAAATTACTACCATATCATTAAGACTAACTTGTTCTACCAAACGAACTAGTCATGCTTTAATCTTTGATTAATGAAATATTTGCCAAGAAGTTGAAACTACATGAAAAAAACGTAAAGATGAACATTTAAGAATAAGCATTTCCCAGTGCACTTTTTACATTAAACATCTTTGAATGGATTAATTTTTGTCAGCCAATTTAATCTATTTTGTTTATTGTTAAAAGTAATAAAGTAAAAGTTAAAAACTAATAAGTCTTATTGACGAAAATAGTTTGCTTTATTTCCATATGGGAATTGAACCCGGGCCTTGTGGGTGAAAACCACAAATCCTAACAACTACACCATATAGAAGTGATCATAACTTAAAAATTTCTCTTATATTTATGGTATAAAAAGTTACTTCAAATATTTTCAACTTAAGATTGATTGATTAATTAATAAGTCAGTAACTAAAAGATTTCAAATATCTGACAGGTATTAAATCTCGTTATAAATACATTTAATTTGCAAAATTTTGTGTTAAGTTCATTATTAATAGCAAATTGTTTGTTATTTGTAGCTAATATATTAAAAATGAGACTCATAAATTAACCCAACAGCTTTCTTCCATATTTAAAATTAATAAGTATTAATATAAAAGACATTTTTCTTAATTGTTGGATGGGGATTGACTTTAATATTGGAGTGTTTGCTTTTAATGAAAAAGAGTGTAGTGTAAATGCTAATAACATCAACTCTTTAATTTCAAATCATTACTGTCAAGAAAAATTTAAGATTTAGAAGAACAACCTTGGTGGAGAAAGTTATATATTGAAGTGACAAATAAAGTATATAAAAGTAGAAAAATTTCTTATGCTGTTTAATTTAATAAGAAACTGCAAAGGAAAAAACAGTCTGAATTAAAATTTTCATGTCATGTTATTTAATGAAGCGCCCAACGCCGGTTTTGAAATTACTACCATAACATTAAGAGTGACTTGTTCAATGAAACGAACTATACATGCTTTAATCTTTGATAAATGAAATATTTGCCAAGAAGTTGAAACTACATGAAAAAAACGTAAAGATGAACATTTAAGAATAAGCATTTCCCAGTGCAATTTTTACATTAAACATCTTTGAATGGATTAATTGTTGTCAGCCGATTTAATCTATTTTGTTTATTGTTAAAAGTAATAAAGTAAAAGTTTAAAACTAATAAGTCTTATTGACGAAAATAGTTTGCTTTATTTCCATATGGGAATTGAACCCGGGCCTTATGGGTGAAAACCACAAATCCTAACAACTACACCATATAGAAGTGATCATAACTTAAAAATTTCTCTTATATTTATGGTATAAAAAGTTATTTCAAATATTTTCAACTTAAGATTGATTGATTAATTAATAAGTCAGTAACTAAAAGATTTCAAATATCTGACAAGTATTAAATCTTGTTATAGATACATTTAAATTGCAAAATTTTGTGTTAAGTTCATTATTTATAGCAAATTGTTTGTTATTTGTAGCTAATATATTAAAAATGAGACTCATAAATTAACCCAACAGCTTTCTTCCATATTTAA